GCCTATATTTTATAAATATGGAGCAATATTTATTATTTTTTTTATTTTTTGGAAGCTGGCTTTTAAGTGAGCGTGGCATAATAGAAGGGGCCCACTGTTGATCTGTTACATGATGGACTATGAGATAACTGACAAGTACACATCTGATTCTCATTCATGAATTTTGATAAAAATATTATATACATTATGATCCATGATTAAAGTCTAGTCGTGCTCCCCACTAATCCAAACAATAATTCTCCTTCTTTAATCCAACATTGTTCGATTGTTAAGACAATCTTATAATTAAAATTTCTAATCAAATAATTACCATGTGCATCACGATAATTGTATTGAATTATTAGTCAAAAGAGATTGATCATTCAACCGAAAATTGGCCCCCATTACTTATAAGTATTGAGTAATACTACATATATATAACATTTTTCATATATTATTATATGGTGAAATATGATTGATTGATTTTAAATTAAAATTAATCTTTCATCTAATCATCTTTTACTACATAATGTTATATGTGTAGTATTATTCATAAGTATTAGATATTTTTAGTTGTAATCTGTAAATATCAATGTTCTAATAATCGATACAGGGTGAAACCTGACAAAGTGATTAGGTCCTAGGTCAATTGGTTGAATCGGTATGACTGACATGTCAAGTTGGTGATGTCAACATGTCAAGAGGTTTGAAATCTAGCAAACAAACTCATGTGATCTGGCTAAATGTAAATTGATGGTCGATTGCTTGGTAGCAATGATATACTAAATACAAATCTCACTCATCCTTTGAGTCATTCCGAAGTAAATCTACTTAAGATCTGATCGAAATCGAACAATTTTCCTTAAAAAAAACCACAGCACATGACTACCAACCCAAGCCAAATAGGCCAGTTTCTAGTGTCAACAACCACCTACATCACCACAAAAACACTCAACTCAGTCTCCTAATCAAAACCCACCTCACCCCCCCTGTTTGCCCTGCCAATCACCGACAACAACCTACTGTTGTGATCACGTGACTTCTACATTTTTCGGTTGTTTCACTCACCGAAAATCACTTCCATCGCTATCTTTTGACTCAATGACACTTCCTCTTCAAAACCTCTAATAACCACACCGCTTTCTACTTATTATCATCGCCCTCCAAGGTTTGTTTCTTCGTGAATTTGGGGTTTTAAATAGTAGACATGAATGACCAATCCAAAGAAAGTTTCGATTCCTAGTCCAATCGATTGGCCCGATCAGGTTTTAAAACAGTGTTAAATAACTAAATATTAGTAAATTCCGTTAATCAAATTGCTAATAGGGAGATGATTTTATTTAAAATCGGTAAAGAAAAACTTTGATTAAAGCAAAAGACAAAGAGCAAGCACTCATATTCGTCTCTTTACAGCTTCACGTTTTTTATTATTGCAATCGATATTCAAGCGTGGGCTTATCGATAAAGAACAAAACAATGCCAGCCAAATGATTTGCTCTTTCTCCGACAATGCTTCCACGTGTCACTGAGTCATTCGCGCACCCCTTGGGTTTGGCAACAGTCGAACTCCATCTCCAGGAATCTATCTCACCTCAACAAGCCGTTAGATTTCTCTCAGTATCTTGTAATAATACCTCTCTCTAAAATATCTTCAGACCAAACGCCCAGAAAAAAAAATTCAAAAAAAAAAAAAAAATACTGCCACGTCTGAGGTTGATATGGGATAACAAAGGTAAAATTAGATCACGTTTCAGTTTCATTTTTGAAATTCTATTCTGAATCTTGAGTTGTTATCATGTAAAATGGTGTTTGAAATTCTATTTAGTGATGGTCAAAGTCTGCAATTTGTTGAGGTATGGAAGACTTTGTTTTTGAGAGATGAACAATCCGGCAGAGAGAGATTTCATTTCGTAAATCAAATGTCGGTGATTTTTTTTCGTTTTCTTTTGGGTGAATTTTTGCTGTTTTATTGCTGGTTTCACTCACTTTTGTTTACAGAATTCACTATTTCAGGTATGAAGATCTTAAAATTGTCTATTATCAATTTAGATTCTTCGTCAAGGTAAACACATAGTGGCTATCGGTTTGCTGCTGGTGGTTCAAACTTCAAACAACTTCGGTCTTAAATGAGAGTTGCTGATGAAGTTTGATGCATTTTTTATTCTGGGTTATATCTGAAGCAACTACAATAAAAACATGGATCAGATACGAAGTAAAATGATGCAACATGAAGCATTATTTAAGGAACAGGTTTGTAGATCTCTCCTCCCAAACAATTTCGTATGTTAATTGAAAATATAATTCTTAGAGAGACAAATGAAATTCGAAGCAGATTATGTTTCATTGCTTCATGTATTTCAATTCTGTTGGGGTTCATTTAGATGAGAAGAAGAAAATTTATGTAATTTTGCCATTGTTAGCTACTGTAGTTTTGATACCTTTTAGTAATTCTGCCTCTTTTCTCAGTCAATTCTAATCCGGAGGGCTAAATATGGCTGAAAGAGTTATGCCTGAAATACCTGTGAGGGACATCGGTCAAGTTGAATTGGGGCTGTGTTTAATAACTGTGTTTCAGTCCATCACTCCATTGCAATTCCTAGTTTGAGTTTGTCAGAGTCTGCCAGTCTGGTCCTTGCCCCAACGAAAAAGCTTCAATCTTAGTGTATTGGTGGTCCATCCGATGTTGTAATACAACTGTGATAAAAATTGTCTCCATAACCTTTTTAGTTGCTAATTTTATGAATGATGCTTTCTACAGGTTCAGGCTTTGCACAAACTATACCACATTCAAAGATTAGCGATGCAGGAAATAAGAAGTATTTACTCTCATGCCCAAGTGCTGGCATATAGTTCTGAAAGGATATTTGCAGATGATCGGTTACATGGTTCGATTTTGGAAGGGAAACCATTGAGGCCAGCATATGCCAGTGGTCGAGCTTGCGAAGAAGAGTCACTAGCTTGCTCTTTGCATCCATTTTTTTTATTCAAAGAGTTCAAAAGCTCAGCTTCAGTGTGGATGAATGACAGAAACATAGAAAATTCCCACACTGCTCGAAAGAAACCAATGAGAAACTTTGATCTTGAAAAACTCCCAGAAGACTTTATGGATGAGCCTGAGATACATTTTGGGTCAAACAACTCTGAAGCGGTTGATGTGAAGTCCGTATTGTCTCAAAGAACTGAGAACACAAAAGATTATTCTGTTGTTCAAGCCAATCTGTCTTCTATTGACAGTGAATCTCAAAGTTTGAAGCAGATATGTTCAGAAACAGATTTGAGATTATTTACAGCGACATCTCAAGAGTTCAATCAGAATGGTGACCAGGCCTCAGAAGCCAGAGCTTCTAAAAGTGATTTTACAAAGTATGTTACGAATTCTTGGAACTCTAGTAATACCACTGAGAAGAATGCTTCAAAAGAGGTTGAATGGAATTTAAGCTCGGATAGTAGAATTACAACCGGTTCAAAATCAGAACAATTGATCAATTGTAGTGCTGCTGGGGTTTACCTGCCCAATAATTGCTATCAGGATAATATTAACTTCTGCTTGGGAAACCAGAATCTGCAATTATCTGCTTCAATCTCACAAACAATAATGGATGGCAGCAATGATAATCCCAAGGACTCAAGTGATGGAAGCAATAGCGCTCTCTCCCAGGACACAACAAGCTGCAAGAACAAAATCGACAGTGCATATGCAGAGGATACTCATGGACTTGGTGATTCTAGTAGTGACAAAGGTAAGACAAGTAGCAATAGAGTAGGCATTGTTGAATCAGAACGTGAGGAATCACCCCAGCTCATTCAAGATGGTGTCAAACCTTCTTTTTGTTTAAATTCTGAGCCTGAGAAAATGTCAAGTTTGGATGAGGCGATTGTAAACGATAGCAATGAAGATGTAACAGGTAAATCAGCTGAGCTTGAAGAAAGTGAAAGTATAGCAGTAGAAATTTTGCTTAGTTTCGCACCCTGCAGAAAGTTCACTGATTCTAAATTTCATTGCTCCCAGACTGAGGCTGAGTCAGGCAAATCAAGCAGAGTCGACAATTATAAGAAGCCAAGTCTTCCTGAGATGAGGAATGCAAAAGATGGTGGTATAATTGACTCCATAAAATGGGCTAAATCTGTCAGTCGAAGAAGGACCTCGAGAAGACCACGATAACTAGTTGTTGTTAAAATCACAATCATTTTGTGTACAGTTGTTTAAATTCTTTCTTATGGTACAGCTTCAAATAGTTTACAAATCAATATCTCTTGTGGTTGTGCTGTTTGTATGTAAATCCATTATTGGTCTAATCTATTTTGTTTTACAAAATCTGGCAACCCATTTGCCAAAAACAAAACTTGTAACATTGAAACTTCCCAGCGTATATAAGTGTTCTTTATTTTAAACTGTTCTGAACTTTCGGTATTTCCTTCATGGTTGTAGAGAAATTACGCCAAAACACACACAATAATGAAATAGAAAAGTAGCGGAGGCAATCAATTTATCTTGGTTCGTTACTAATATAAGAACTACGTCTAACATTCAAGATAGAAGAAATCAGTAGCAATACCATAGTTGAGATAGCAGTTTACTCTCTCTCTCCTCTCTCTCTCAATATTTTCTTACATCAGCTTTTTCACTATTACAATATGTATATATTAATAAACCTAATCCTGTTCGGACTAATTCGATCTAACCTGATCTAAGCCCAAACATTTGCAAATCAATTATAAATCTAATTACTAATTGGGTTTACGGTGAAGAGGACCCCGAATGTGTCAACGTAAACCGACAATCCATGAAAACCGCATTCAACAATGCTCATAGCTCAAGTTCAAATAAGTTCTTAAATTATGCCTAATGTGTAACAAAAATTGTTCTGTATAAAACGGTACGTTTAAACGCAAACAAAAGTAGAAGAAACTACCACACATTTCTACAACATTCTTTTGCCTCTTCTCCAAGCTTTTAAACACCTCTCTCTCTTCTTTCTCCACAATTTCTTCAATCTCATTCTCTGCTTTGATCTTCAGTAATGGCCTCGAGAAGGCTTACAAAGTCTACTTTAGCAGCTTTAAAATCCTCAAGAACACTAAAACTCTCTCTCTCACAATCCGGCACACGGCTTTCTCACTCTCGCCTTCAATCTACTTCTGCCTCAGCTTCTTCTTTCACTAGTTCTCTCAATTCACTTTGTCGGCCTCGTATTTTCAACTCAATTCCTCAGAACGATGGCGCTTCTGCAAAGTTGTCGGCGAACGCTTTCACTCGCAAGTTCCACTCTTCCACTCCTCTTCGCTCCTCCGCCACCAGCTCCTCCCAGGTTCGTATACCTATACTTTACATTGAATGTATTTACGTATGGATATATGATTAATTAGGCTATTTTTAAAGCTAATTTATTGTTTGTAAATATCATTTTGAGTTTGTTCAGTTGGTATTAAACTTTTTTATTGGAATTCATAGTATTGTGCTGAATGTATTTAGAAAAAGTGAGGATTTTGACAACTTATTTCGGAACTCAATTGATACTTCAGGTTCTTTAGGGAATTGAATTTTCAGCTTTTGAAATTTTGTCCAAGTCGCTGATTTATTTGTTGCTAAAAAGCTCTTTTCAGTTAATTAATATGTGATATTGAAATTTTTCGTGCTTATGTGTCGTCAGGCCAATCCAACTGAGTACACTGAGATGGCATGGGAGGGCATTGTTGGTGCTGTTGATGCGGCAAGAGTTAGCAATCAACAAGTGGTGGAATCTGAACATTTGATGAAGGCCCTTTTGGAGCAAAAGGATGGTTTGGCTCGAAGAATATTCACCAAGGCGGGGATTGACAACACCTCGGTTTTGCAGGCTACAGATGAATTTATATCCCAGCAACCAAAGGTGTTTGCTATGAATTCTTCATGGTATACTTATTTTTGCTGGTTTGTTTGTTTTGTAACTGTGATTTGTTTTATTTTGTTGTTTTAGGTTACAGGTAACACCAGCGGGCCTGTATTAGGATCACATTTTTGTTCCCTCCTGGATGATTCTCGAAAGTATAAAAAGGAAATGGGGGATGATTTTGTGTCTGTTGAGCATCTTTTGTTGGCCTTTCATTCTGATAAGAGGTTTGGGCAACAACTATTCAAGAACCTTCAGCTTAGCGAGAAGGATTTGAAGGAGGCCATCAAAGCTGTTCGTGGAAATCAGAGAGTAACGGATCAAAGTATGACTTTAAATTCTTACATTTGTGGTTTCGATGTTTACTTGTTGTATTGGGAAGAAAATTGATCATATTTTTTTTTTTTCATCCCTGTATGACAACTTGAGTGCACCTTTACTCATAATTATCCTAAATTGTTTAGTACCTGGGGTATTGCTGCTCTCACATGTTATTTCCTTCACATATGTAGATCCTGAAGGAAAATATGAGGTACTGGACAAATATGGAAATGATTTGACAGAGCTTGCNGCTATAAAATAACATGACTTAACCTAATTGTCCTTAATAAAAAAATATTAAAGAAAAAAATAGTCGGAATGCATTGGATTATCATCATCTGGCATAGTTTAGTATGCTTTAATTAGACTGTCAAACTATACAGTTAAATGTTAGACTCGAGTCTAGCATAGTCTAGCACTATATATTAGTTAATATTTATTGTTTCATTAAAGTTATCATTAGTAAGTTATTGGATTTTATGTCTAGATTTGTATTGAAAAGAAAACCTACATATTTTAAGAAGCTATGATTATTGAGTTGATTATATATATTTAAGAGCAATTTTATTCTTACAATTAAGTCATACAAAGAGCCAAAAAATAAAGGATATAGTATTCATTTTACATTAATTTTTTTCAAATTTTTGCTATTTGTATGACTCAATTGTAAGCAAAACATTATTGTATATTCAAATGCTTTTAATTTATTAGAGATAATAAACAATTTATTATAACTATTAAAATATAAGATTTAAATAAATATTGTGCATAAAAAACGAGTACTACTCCTCTTACAAAGTTTGTTTATGTTGTGCGATAAATCTCTAAAACATGGATTCACGTCATGTGTCATTTTTTTAGGTTAACTTTATTTATAAGTTTGTCATTGCAATATGATATAAGCTTATTTTTTACCCAAATTAGGGATTTCATTTTGATCTATATTAGGTGTCATACTTGTGCACAGACAATAGCGGATCCAGAAATTTCTTTTAGGGTGGGCCAAAATAAAAATTTATTATACATTACTATTTTTATCCATTAATATTTTTGTTAGGGTGAGCCAAAATATATAAATTATACATATTAATATTAAAAAAAAAAATTTGAGGGTGGGCCATGGCCCACCCAAAATGTGGCTGGATCTGCCACTATGCACAGAGAAAACACGGAAAACAATACAAGAGTAGTGGACGTAAGATTTGCGCTTAACATCTAAACCACTTTAAAAATATTTTTTTTATGCTATTATTTGATTTCTTATTTGTCCATCGATCCAACATCGAAATCATGGATATTATACAAACTTCTATGTAAATTTCACTACGAATACTACTCACTTCTCGTTGGTATAAATCACAACATCAATAATCTAAAAAATAAAATGATATGACATATCATTTATATACTAAACTTTGTATATACTACAGAGTAATATTATTCATAAAAATAATTATCTCTTAATATTGATATTTTGAACTATCGGGATGGTAAAAGAAAACCTTTTGTATATTATCGTTAAATTTTGAGTAAAGATCAAACAATCCCTCTGCCGACAACTGAATTGACAGCATTAATTATGGAAGAAATATCTTAATTATTCAACACAGAATATACTTTTACCTTACCTTAACAGTGATATATTTGCAAGATTAAGGGGTAAACATCATAAATCAGTAGTACTCAAATGAACATGAAAAAGAAAATTAAATTAAACAATGACTAATCACTGGCATGCATATTCAGAAACGTAAACGTAATCATCATTGTGTGTAAATGCACAAAAGTAAAAAAATAAAAAATAAAACAAAGAATAAAAAAAGACATAAAGTGGTTCACGAGTGAAAACATGGATTAGATAACAATAATAAACAATGAAATTAATCAAGTCATCGAAATAGATGTAATTTATATATATATTTAATTTACAGTAAACCATTTTTCCCACCTGCCGTCTGCCTTAATGACGCTTTCCCACCCAACGTTTCAAAATACCACTTTCCCACCCAAAGTTTATATTCCATTAATACTTAAAATACACTTTATTTTCTCAATCGACATTTGATGAGTTAACAAAAGCTAGGGTAAGGAGAGTTTTATAGAGTGGAGACCAATGGATCAAATGGTAGTGATCGATTGAGTATTTGTTGTCAGAATCAACAAAAAATCAACTAAGAAAAAGAAATCCTAGTTTTGCGGTGTCTGGCAATCAACGAGAAATTAAGTGTTGGAGTGAGAAGAGTTTTGTAAAAAAGAAATCAGAGGTTTAAACAGTGGTGACAGAGAGAATTTTTGTCATCAAAATCGGGTTTAGATAATAACATAATATTAACTTTAGGTGGGAAAGTGGTATTTTGAAACTTATTGGATGAGAAAGCGTTGTTGAGACAAACCTTGGGTGGAAGAAAGTCGTTTACTCTTTAATTTAAGCATACATTCAATCATAAGAAGACAGAAACCTATTAAACTATCAACTAACTTTACACCAAAAATACGTTGAAATTAAAGGAGAATCACAAAAATATTTAAATGAATGAACAGAGATTGCCGACACAAATAAAAAGATATTTACAGTCATACTTAAGTTTAAATAAAGTTCAAACTCATATTTTATTAATTTTTATGTATTATTTTTTAGTGGCTAGCCGCTAGCTTTCCCTTATAGATGGAAAAGGTGTTTTATTTTATGTACTTTTAATTAATCCTACATTCTTATCTTAATCAATATTGCAATAGTCTTTTGAACCCAAATGACATTCTGATCCGGGAAGACAAAATTAAACGAAAATTTTAAGAAATTTGTTATCTTAAATTAAGAGATAATTCTTACACTTAATATACTACTAGTTTCATAATTTTTTTTTATTTTTTTATTTTAATGTAAATACCACTGTCCTTTTTTATATTCTTATCTCTATTCCGGTAAATGTAAAATGTTTGAGATTTAATGCTTTATTTAATTTTCGAAAAAGTATATTGATACCTTGAATACTTGTTTGCATATTTGGGTAATTAGAATAAGAGTAATATACTTTTTCCCACCCAAGGTTTGCCTTAATGACACTATCCCATCAAAAAGGTTACAAAATACTATTTTCTCACCCAAAGTTTATATTTTGACCAATTGTCGGCCGATTCTAGCATCTTTGCGACTCCACACCATCACCATTCTCTTCCCTGATAACCACTCACCAAAACCCTTACACCTTGCTCCCACCAACCCTGTCAATCGCTGACAATCGAGCGATTTGTGTAACGTGCAACCACCTTTTGCAAGTCAGATTTCAATCAATCTCGACCATGAAAATCCTATAACTGAAGCAAGAATGAGCAGGAAGAAGGAATTTGATTGCTAGTATTTTCATTTTACATCACAAGTATATATATAAGTGTAAAAGATAAGAGATCAGAGATTCAAAAACCAAATACAAATTCAAAAGAAGATCAAATACAAATTTTAAAACAAAGATCATTGACTACGTCTTCTCTTGACTGCACCTTTTCTAATATGCCCCCTCAAGATGGAGCTCAACTGAAGAGACCAATCTTGGTGCACAGAGAAAGAAATCGAGACCTAGGGAGTGGTTTGGTAAGAGCATCTGCAAGCTAGTCTACACTAGAAACATGAGCCACACGTAAAGAGCCATTTTAAACTTGATCACAAACAAAGTAGAAATCAATAGTGACATGTTTCATTCGTGAATGAAAAACTGGATTCGAGCATAGACTAATGGCCCCAACATTATCACAATAAATCACACGACAATGAGGAATAGCAATACCAAGTTTAGTCCAAAGAGAACACACACAATTAAGCTCAGCAGCAGTAGAAGCAACAACTCTATATTTAGCCTCGGTAGAGGATCTAACAATTGTGTGTTGCGAACAAGAGCTTTGAGAATCAATTGATTTTGTCAAATCCACATTGTATGAGTTGGGTTGGTATAGTGGTGTCATTTGTAGTGATAGTAGGTGCTGGACATGGTTTCGATCCATCGATATAACCAAGNCTGTCATATCCTATAAAATAAAAAACGTATTTATTTTAATATTAACTATTTAATTTAAAATTCAATCATTTTTTATTCAATTAAAAATATTTAATAATTATTTTTTAATAAAAATTTATAAATTAACAAAAAAATCCTCACTCAGGCACTCACCCAAGCAATAGTTGCTCACTAGCCACCACCGCCAACTACCAACGCCGAAACATCTATTCATTTTTGGCCAAATCTACTATAGATTCAGTCAAAAAGGGATAAATCTACGACCAAAGATCTAGCCATTGACGGCTAAATCTGACCGTCAACTATCGATGTACTATTTCAGTGACATATGGCCACTGTTCGGTGGTCGTGAGTCATTTCGGTGACTTTCGACCACTGTTCGATGATGGTTGTTGGCTATCGGCAATTAGTTGGGTAAATAGGGATATTTTTGTTAATATATAACCTTTTATTTGGGGGGTGTTAGCTAACTTAACAAATATAGGGAGTTACAAAAATATAGGGAGTTAAAATAATATAAATGTTTTCATAAAATGTTTTAAAAAAATATACCGAATTGTATTCTCATAATTATATCCTATAATAGAATATTATTAAAAAAGTGTACCAAATGAACCCTAAACCGATAACCAAACCGGTTATTCGGTTAAGCTATTTCTCCTAATCAAAACCAAACCGGTTTTGAAAAAATCTAGTTTTTTGGTCCGGTTTTTGGTTTTTTTGGCCTACCCCCAAATAGTCTGTTTGGCCGAATTTTTTTATGCAGGGAACTGAATAAGAGGCTGTATTAATTATTAAACGTCAGAAAATTGTCTCCAACTCCTCCATGGATTTATGACGTACTGTATTATTTCAAAACATTTTATACAAATTTTTTTTTTTTCAGAAATCAATTTCATTCAAATAATAATTTCAATATCTTAGTTATTTAAAATAAATGTTGCAAAAAGTGAAAAGTGAACAAAATGCCTGCCAGATTTATATTCATTTAATATTCAAAAATTTTTATTGTTATTTTTAAAATATTTTAACAATATAGAGGATTATTGAGGCTTGGTTTATTTATACAAAAGTAGTAAAGGTACAAATAAATTTTGCCAAAATTTAGGTACAAACTAATGTAGGAGAAAATGAATGAAATTTTTTGTATTCACTCTTTCATTTATTTTCTGTTATATCAGTTATTTACATAAACCTTTTGTAAGATTTATTTATACCACTAGTATTATTTTTATTTATAATCTCAGCTTTTTATTTTCATTTTTGGGCTTTGAAATTTCACACAAACTGCATTTTTATTTTAATAGAAATTATATATTTTCTTTCCTTTCATATATTCTTGTATTTCTCTTTCTCTTACTTAATATAAAACCTTTTATTTCAAATCAAGACTTTTAACACAAGAATTGTAAATGAAAATTAACCTCTTAAATTAGAATTACAAACAAAAATTAACCTCTTACATATTTAAGATAATCTCTTCGAAATGAACAAAATAGGTGGTAATTTGAAGAAGTTTTACCAGTTGCATAAGTGATAAATTTGTATTTTTTATCAATAATACTAGATCTACAATCTTCTCCCACAAATCTCGATGTGACAGCTCGTCATTATTTAGTTATCAAATGAACAAACGGGACCCATTTTGTGAATAACAATGACGAGTTGTCATTCGAGGGTTGTGAGATTGGATTGTGGATTTAACATTACTCATTTTTTATTATGTTCTTTGTGTTTTTTAGACAAACATACTGAACACATTTTCATTTGTTTATTCCAATCATTTCCAATGTTTTCAAAAAAAATAAAAATAAAAACCGGATACATAAAAATTCATAAAATGGCACACCCTGAGTTTTTAATCTAACTAGATGGAAGGCCTGCGCGTTACACAGGTATGTTTAGTGATTGTTTTTTAAACGGTTTGTAAATAGCTTTATTGTAAAGTTTTAGTGGTATGCAAATGCAAATGTTTGTGGGTTATTGGTCTGGCCTATCTGGTTTGTAGAAACTGTTTACATTCAATATTTTGTAGAAATCTTTCACATTCACATTAAATGCTGAAATTGTTATTTGTTTATTTATTGTTTAATATGATAAATAATGATAATTCATATGCATTCAATGTTTTGTAAAAACCTTTGACATTCATATTCAAATTAAATGTTTTTCGATTATATTGTTTATTCCCATAAATATTAAATAATAATATTTCACATGCATTCATTGTTTTGTAGAAATCCTTGACATTCACATTCAAGTAATCATTTTGATGGTTGTATTGCTTAATGTGAGCACATTTATATTATTTGTGAAAGATTATACATGCATGAAATGAATTGAAATATTAACTCATGCCAAATGAGTTTTGGTACCCTAATTCCGGGGGCCACTTTAACCATTCATTGTACTTGTCCTGTTTGCATTGCTATGGATTAAACTGTGAAAAATTTCTTGTTAAAGAAGATTTATCTCTTATATTCATGATGTGGAACTTGAAATTGGAACCATGCATCAAAAGTTATTCCCATCAGAAAAAAGTCATAAAGGGAATGCACGGTAATAAAGTTGGAATCCCATGTCCGAAGTATTGTAGAGGACTGCCATTTCAAAAGCTTCAATGAAAAGATTGTTCATAGCTCTTTAATTTTATCTTTTGACTTCAAGGTCAGATATTTTCCATTCATAAAATCAACCCGCATCACAAATCCCTTTCTATTAAAAAAATGGCCACTTTTGTTAGTTTGAAGATTGTTGGAAAGACAGTGATGACAATCTACAGCCATGGATAAGGATGTCTTTGAGCAAAGTGAACTGAAGTCTTAACTCACAAGAAGAATATAGTGAACGTGTCAAGAACAAATTTTTTTGAATTAGTAAGCACAAACAAACTACAATCTACGCATCATACGTGTAAAGGTTCTCAAATCTCATGTAGTTATGTGCTTCAATCTTCTCCATCATGTTTGATATGCCAACCCCACCTATCAATAGAAGAAAACATCAATTTCGAACTTTGTCCAAGTAAAACAATATCTGAATGAAAATGATATTATCAAGCTAGGCAACAGGGATATCAGCACCAACCTAAAGATATTGCACTAACAAATATGGTAAAGGCTAAAATGAAGATGATAAGCGATGCCCTTCCCAATAAAATAATCAGTTTTCTCACAATATGTTGCCCAATTAAGGCAGCAATGGTAACGACATCAATAAAATAGGGAGCTGTCAAAGAAAGTAAAAAATCAATTGAAATTAGATAAACCATAGATCCAACATCTAGATGCAAATTACATTACACATTTATTTGGAAATATGTTTTTTCTGATGTTTAGAAATTACAGAAGTACAAATAATTGTGCAATAAGGGACTAGAAAATGTTTCAGAAGGTAATATTCCACATTAGACATGGATGAGGAGAAGGTCATAGCAAAGGTAGCACTCGCACTTGATACCTACATAGAAGTCATCAAGAAGATTAAAACTAACAATATTTAGCAATGAATCTATACTTATAAACAAAGATTTCTTAAGACCTTGGGATGCCACTATTTAATTGTTATTAATATTTAGGTGACTGTAAAAAGATTAACATAAATCTATATATCTTTTAATTAGACATTTAGATGCCTAATGTGTGAGAGACATTTGGAATACCAATGCAATGCATCTATATAATTCTTGTTAATACACATCCAACACTTCTATTCAGAGAAATGCAGTAAATTGAACTAAAAAGCACCACAGAAAAAATAATGCAGCATTGTCCAACGATTGAAAAAATAAAATGTGTAAGCCTAAAAACTGAAACTGAAACTGAAATTTATCTGGAAACCCAACAAATATTAAAAAAATAAAAAAATAAATAAAAACCAACTCTTAAAAAAATTAATATTAACCACAAACTGTTTGGTTACCCAGAAAAAGCAAGAAAACAAACGAAAATTAACATAAGTATCATAAAGTACTCTTCATTTTTGGAACCCAGTGAAACAAAAACACAATTTTCCATTATTTTGGACCCAATAACACAAAACCCCCCACTCAATTGACAGCAAATCACACACTTCAGCTTAGATAATTTCAGTTTCCATCAAAACAGGCAAAACACGCAGACAAACACTTATTTTCTCCCCATTGCCACATTTTCTCAGCAACCAATCAGTGGCAAATGTACTTAAGAAACAAAACTTCACCAGCATTAGAAGTAACGCCATTTCCAAATGCAACAAAAGAAAACACATCTTTTTAAAACAAACAATCAATCAATCAAAATTTTAAAAATCAAACTATTTTCAAAAAAAGAAAAAAAGCACCAGAAATGGCCATGGTGAATCCGCAACCACCACCGCAGACGTCCTTCCACGCGGATCCCGCTGTCGCGGGTAACCTCACAACCACCGGCGACCTTTGCGGCAACGCTCCTGACAAGTAACCCCACATAAGCACCAATTTCTCCTTATCCTTCTCCTCCACCTCCATTCTCTCAACTCTCTCTTGCTCTTCCTTCCCATTCATTTCGAGAAACAAAAATAAAAACGTCAATAGAAGGAAATGGACTTTTGTGAAGTTTCCATGACATGTGATAAAAAAATAAATTGTCAAACTACACTAAGAGGAGGAGTTTATGCAAGTACCTGTGGAGATAGTGTTATCAGGAAGCACCTATTAGGAGTGGTGAGAAGTAAAATGACGACATAAAGGATAGTTAAGAACAGATTTCCAAAAGCACAAAAGTCACACACCTTTGAAGTCATCCATAAGTATTGCTTCCATTAACGTTTCAATTTCCATCTCCTGCTCCTGTGCATAGTCTGTAAATTAAGATACAAAGAAAGCATTAGAAAGGAACATATCAACAAAGAAAGCATTAGAAAGGAACATATCAACAAATAAAAAGACAAACCAATTCCAACAATATATTAAATCTTGAATAACAACACATAGGGGTGTAAACGAGTCGAGCCGAGCCGAGCTTTTGACTTATCGAGCTCGGCTCGTTTACAACAGTGTCGAGCTCGAGTCTGACGAGCCTCAAAATTGAGACTCGAGCTCGAGCCGGCTCGCGAGCTTGAGCTCGATAAGGCTTGATCAACCACCATTTATCCGTGTTTGATCGAGCCAAATTCCCCTTTTTTATAACAATCTGCCTGCGTACAACATTTCATATTAACATCCAATGTTGAATTAACCATGACAGTTCCGAGCATTACAAAATGTCTATTACCTTACAAAATCAAAAAACAGTTCTGAATATATACAAATAACATTTTTAGGAGTACATATACAATCCACCAATCAAAATCACTATCCACCAGTAGGACTGTAGTAGGCTTGTGTTTGATGAAAGCCACAATTTCCCCCTGCCTCTAGAAAATGTTCAATTTAATAAGTATTTTTTAAGGTAACTATGACAAGAAAAAAATATGTATAATCATGAAACAAAAGCAAAAGGAATAAAAGTTTTACCTATGCATGTCTCCTACCACAGCCAAACCATGCACTGAATCCCAGAAACTTATGGGATAGGAAGGTTGATCTCCAACGGTTGCTGCTCTTCCTGAAAATGACAAAGGAGGAGCATTTTAAGTTTAGTTAGTATAAATATAAAGTAATAACTAAATTTAATAAAAACAATATTCAATATAAGCATGTAACCTACTTTACATCCTTTTTTCACCCCATTCAATGTCCTGCTCCAGTCACATCCACATAAGAGCATCTCCACCATGTTGGGAGCCAACGACGATTGGTACGTGTCAATAACCCTACTGCCGGTGCTGAAAGCAGACTCAGAAGCAACCGTAGTAATAGGAATGGCTAATATGTCACGAGCCATGGTAGACAAGATAGATAACTTTGTTGAGTTAGCCTTCCACCAGGTCAAAGCATCAAATGTCGTAGCATCCCCAACACATTTATGGCATCCCTGTCCCAGGTAACAGTCTAACTCTGATTTCGTTGGCTCAATTGTCTCAACCACCTCCAAATACTCACTAAAATCATCCCAATTATCCGCCATCTCTGCCGCTGCCCCTGACCCCTCACCAACCTCCTGAATTGCACCCCCTGTAGATGTAGAAGCGCGGGCAGCTGTCGATGCTTTACTGGCATCAACATACTCCCTATATACCTCATACAAGGCATCTCGAACAACATCCACATTTGCCTGCGATTCAGCCTGAGGATACATCTTAGGGAACGCCCATTCAATTACCCTCATCTTCAATCTGGGGTCCAAAATAGCAGCCACACCCATCAATAGATTACATTCTCCCCAATATTTGTCAAACTTTTCTTTCATTTTCCAAATCATGGTCTGTATAAACTGATCTCCATCCCGACTCTTACTATCCAAGATAATTTTTATTGTACAAACTTGTTTTAGAAACAAGTTTGATGTCAGATAATCACTCCCTGATATCATATTCGACGCAGCACTAAACACCTTCAAAATAGGACAAATTTTCTCAACTTTGTCCCAATCCTCCTTCTTGGGACAATATTGATAACTCAAATCCCTCTCCTTCAAACAAGGGAAAACACGCCTAAATTGCATTGCCGTTGTCAACATATCATATGTTGAATTCCATCGCGTTTTGCAATCAAGAATAAGTTTGCGAAATGGCAATCGTCGCTGTTGAACAATCTCTTCAAACACCTTTAGTCTACTCTCTGATGAATTGATATACGACACAGTATCACATATGTCCTCAATAATGTTTCTAATCTTATAAAGACCATCTTGAACAACCAGGTTCAAGATATGTGCACAACACCTCACATGAAACATCTTGCCCCCACATATGAGCTTCCCCATAGCTTGGAAATTATCTTTCAACACTTTTAATGCAACATCATTGCTTGAAGCATTATCCACCGATATCGTATGGACCTTAGCTTCAATTCCCCAATCCATCAAACACTTGAAAATTGCATCAGCAATGGCAACACCAGAACGGGGAGGAGGGAAATGAATAAAGTTCAACACCCGTCTATTAAACTTCCAATGATCATCAATCCAATGCCTAGTCAAAACCATGTATTCCATCCTCTGGTTGCCTGAATGCCATAGATCTGTGGTCAGACTTATCTTCCTAACACCCTTCAATAAGGTCAACAACTTCTGTCTCTCACTTTCAAACACTTTCATACAATCATTCTTACAAGTATTACGGGATATCGGAGTCCATTCAGGAATCCAGTACTTCATCATGTTGTTCAACCCCTCTTCCTCCACAATAGAAAATGGATGCTCATGTATCAGCACCCAATGTGCAATAAACTCCCTCATCTTCAGCATACTGAATTGGCCCCGTAGAGCAGGCAAGACATTAGAGCCACCCTGAGAATTGGAAGGGGGGAAATTTATTTGTTGTTGCCTTAAGTGAGCTGTTCTCTTCGCACACCTTTTCAAATGTCTGTTGAATTGTGTTGTGCTTCCACTGGTAGTGATTTTCAACTTTGTTTTACAATGAATACACTCTCCCTTCCCTATACCACTAGGGAGAACCACCTCTGTAAATTCTGACCACACAGCTGATGTCTTCGCTCTCTTCTTCCTCTCTAGTTGATTATCATTCTCAACATTTTTGGGGCTACTCACACTTTGCTCGGTACCACCTGAGCTTCCATAAATGTTATGCCGATCGACTACTCTTACTGTAACACAATCGTCGACGTCATCCAATGTAGGGGTGCTTAAGGAATTGTCTCCCGATGCCATACCTATAATTGAAAAATGAATTAACCACTATTGTTAGACAATATCATAAAGTTAAAATAATATATAATTGACATAATATATATTCATTTTACAAAAATATATACCCAAAAGGGTTTCTTCAATCAATGCAATTATGCAAGTGCTGATATATATATATATATAAACTTCCAAGAGAAAGAGAGAAAAAAGATTCCAAGTATAAAAACATCAGAACTCAATAACAAATGTGAAATCAATAAATATTGAATTCAGAAGATCATGCAGAATCACATTGATTTTCGTTAAACCAGTGGTAACCATTTCAGAGGGACTTATTATTCATCTAGGAAAAAAAATCACAAGTTGCAATTTGAGAAACAGAAATTGCTTGCCATAGATTTTAACTTGTGAAGAAGAACTATGCAATATAATTTGAGAGGATATACCTCTGACAACAGTAACAATTGCACCTGGAGCTGTCAATGAGCTATAGTCTATAGTGACCATTGATTCTGACAAAGGATGTTTTCCCAGAGAAAAATAATATTCACAGTTTCTTCACATAGATATGTAGAAAATTGTTCAATTATTTTGAAATCCCAAAAATATTTGACTTTCTGTAGCAGAATAAATACAAACTAGTCTATTTGGAATTGCATTATAACTCTTAGTAACAAAATTCTAGATACAACATAAACTGGGCTCAAACAATATATAATTTTACAAAAAGAAAATAAACCTACATCAAACAAATATGGCCCTAAATACAAATAATCATCAGTCACATTATCATCATCACTGACTTTTATGTATATCTTATATCATTTTATTTTCCTTCAAATTTGAGAGTAGACTTCAATTGCAATTTTCAGATAGCAAAATGAACAAATATACGATCTTTCATAGAGATGCTTAGTTTCACAGAAATCCCTCTAAGAGTCCAGAGAATGGATTAGAGTTACTTTAAAAAGGGCTTATCAAGACTGCAGCAAATTTAACATCCAGCTTCTTGTTTAAGGACAAATCATTGACTTTGAGCAGCCCCTACTTTTCTTCTAAAATTTGTTCTCCTCAACAAAACGAATATCTCCTATAATTATTCTCTTTTCCAAAAACAGAAGAAAGAAAATTTGCATAGTCCTATGATACAGACCTGGGTTTTAATCACACATCCAGCAAATTGAACACTCACCGTTTCAAGATTACAACCACAGAATAAGCAAATATGTAATAGCTGAAATATATTGATAAAGATGAAGTAGAATATTCAAAGGACTGAAGCAAAATAAAGGAAACAGAAAAAGAAAATAAACCCCAGCTAGCAGTTTGAGGAGCTAGCAACCTCCCAAACAAATCCTTTACAAAATCACTCAATGAATAACTTATGCAAATATTCTCCTTTATAAGCACTTTTTTGGCCTCCTATCACTAATATTCTACCAACGTGTCCGCATTAAACAGTGAAAAAGCTTATGATATTTTCTTCTCATCACCAGGCAAAATTCTTAACAAGAAATCTTCAAATAAAAAAACAATGTCAGTTTGTAGCTGAAAAATAAGATACACGGTAACTGTAGTAATCCATAAAACAATGTCAGTTTGTAATAAAGCATAAAACAAACAAACCTGGAAGTTTCAGAGTGTTGGGCCTCCTTTTCCGGTTGTCGAGATCGGAGATGGCGACGGAGATTACCGATTTCAGTTTTCAGAGTGTTTGGTTCGCGATTTGGGATTTGGGTCTTTGATGGAGATTTGGGATTTAGGGCAGGAACTGAATTTGACACTCTGTTTTGCAATATCGTGTTATTTCAAACTTGCAATTAAGGGGGAGGGGGGTAACTGTCATTTTTTAAAACATTTTTTACTATAAAATATCAGTTTAATACCTAATAGTTTAAAAAATCACCAAAACACCCTGTGAAGTGTACAGTGCTTAATCGAGCTGAGCTAGGCTCGCGAGCCCACGAGTCGAGCTTTACTGTGTTCGAACTCGACTCGGTTAACGAACCGAGTTTGAGTCGAGTCGAACCGAGCCTTATCAGGCCGAGCCTTTATCGAGCTTTTATCGAGCCGAGCGAGCCGGCTCGGCTCGTTTACAGCCCTAACAACACATATAATGACAATATCAATCGATTGAATTTAAATGAATACGAGGGGACAAATATGAATTTATATATATAAACAAAGTTTTCTTTAGACCTTTGAATGTCACTATTTAATTGTTATTAATATTTAGGTGAATATGAAAAGACTAATATGAATCTATATATCTTTTAATTTAGACCTTAGGATGCACAATATATGCCTATTAATACAAATAAATAACAATTTTAGAGCTACAACTGAAGTCTTACATGACAATCATATATTAATAGAACTCTTAAGATCATATGTGACATCCCACGTGGAATTCACATGACAATCAATAGCAAGGGTGGGCTTCAGAATTATATAGATTATATTAGAATTTATATTAAAGATTTAAATTAAAAAACATAAGCAATATTTTATATAAAATTTGAATATAGATTTTAATTTTCGTATATTAAGTATATAATAAATTTTATTAAAAAATTATTTTAAATAAGTTAAAATATTCTTAAGAATAGTTTTTGAATGATGCTATATAATATAACCCATCTTTTTTTCAAACTAGCTTCATTGAATTTAATTAAGTTCTATGATATAATATAAAAGGTCATATAAAACCTAACTTCTTTATGTATTTGATTTCATATATCTAAGCATTTTGTTTGGTTTGTAGATCCATATGGGGTGTATTTGGTGTAACGCACAAGACTTAACTAACTTTTTTCGTATTAGATTAGAGACAATAAGATGGAATGATTTGGTTGAATATAATGGTATCGTATGCTTGTTATAATACCGAATTAAATGTATTAATAATTATTAAATAATCTAATTATTGAAAATAAATAAATTTTTAAATAAATAGTAACAATTTTTTTAAAATTTAAATTAAAGAAAAAATTAGAAGTGACCTATAGGGTAGTCAGCGGCCAAAACTTGTCTCTCTCGCTAGCGGCGTGTCTAACAACAATGTCAACCCTACTAGGTTGATCATCCAACATGTTGGATATCATTCATACTTTGTACAGATTATCAGTGTATGTTAATGCACTCTAGGGTCTAATTAGTAATTGGGCTAGTTATTGGTTTGTAAATATTTGGGCCTATGAGAGTTTAGCCCATATGGGATTATGTTTATTGTTAACCTAAGGTAGCAGTGGAAAACCTATTGTGAGATATACTAAAGAATAGATAGAAAAGAGTGAGCTTACTTTTCATTATTGTATTCTGTAGATTTCAAATCACTACTACATTTGAATATTGGACTAGTTCCTTGAAAAGGAACGAACTAGGGTAAATTGTTTGTGTTCTGTTATTATTTTATTCTTTACTTGTGGCATGGTTTGGATTCGGATTCAACATTTGGTATTAGAGCTTACAATTCGTAGTTAAAATCTTTTCTTGATTGAAAACAATAAGTCATTTTCTAGAGAGATGTCGATTGGTCAAACACATTTGGAAGTCGAGAATTTCGAAGGACATAATTTTGAGTTATGGAAACTTAAGATGGAGGATCTACTTGTTGACATAGATTTGTAGCATGTTATTGAAGATTCAAAACCAACGGTGGAAGAAACTTCAGCATCTGCAGATCAAGGGTCCGCATCAAAGACAACACAATAGGATCGACAAGATTAGAAGACGCGAGGCTTGATTAGAAAGTGTCTTGCAGATTTTGTGTTGGTGAATGTTTTGGGTGAACAATCTGCAAAAGATCTCTGGAACAAACCAGGATCTCTCTATCAAAGTAAGTCTCTTGTCAACAAACTATTTCTACAAAAGAAGCTGTATAATTTGCATATGAGAGAGATTCGTTTTCAACACACTTGAATGCATTTAATACGCTTATGGGACAGTTGTTGTCAATGGGTATAAATTTAAATTCGATGATGATAAAGCCATTATGATGTTGTGCTCGTTACTAGATTCCTGGGAGAATATGATTGTTGTTGTTGGTCGTGGAATGAATTCTCTGTCATTTGAGAATGTTGTTGTGAATTTATTGTTTGAGGAAATTAAATGATAGTCTATGGCCGGTCGGACCGGTGACGTCAACATAGAACCGTAGTATGAAACTTGACAGACATACTCTTGAGAAATTCTCATCAGTCCCTATAGGTTTGTAATCCAGCAAACACACCCCTACATGCAACTTTTTAAATGAACCAGCCTCAGCTCAATTCTCGGCCTAGGCCTAGTTAATGGCCTGTTTATTTTCAGATTTGAGCCCATGTCATTTTCTATTTTCCATAATTTTTATATTTGAAAATAGATTTTAAATATTATGTCAAAAAAATATCACAAGAAACATTTTTATAAAAAAAATGATTATTTTAAATATTAATTTTTAAGTATATATAATAGTTTAAAAATTATAGTATAGAAAAGCAAAATCAGTTTAAAGAGAAAAGTCCAAACACACCTTTGAGTCCAACAAAGCCCAAATCCGGGGAAGACTATAATAGAAAAGGGAGTTGCTATTCTTACAAAGAAGCCTACAAAGGAGGCATACAAAGTTAATCTCCACCCTTCATCTTCATAATTTCTCTCTCTCTCTCTTTCTCTTTTTCCGTTTTTCTTTTGTTTTTTCCTTCACTTTGTAAGTTACTTTGTAAACTTCTTTGTAAGGATAGATTTATCCAATAGAAAAATGCATCAGTAGAAGAAAAACTGAAACAGGAAAAGTAAAGTTGATCCAAAAATTGCAAGCTTAGAAGAAGCTTCAAATCTTTTTTAATCAATCTCTTCTTCTTGACTTTCAATTTCAATCCAACTAATCTCTTAACCCTTTTCTTCCTTTCCTTCTTTCTTCTTTTGTGTGTGTGTGTAATATATATATATATATATATATATAGAGAGAGAGAGAGAGAGAGAGAGAGAGAGAGAAGGAATTCCAGTTCAATTCCCTCGACTTTTTTGAAGGGGGTTTTGGTGTGAAGATTCTGCAGAAGGAGGTGGCAGTGATGGTGGTGTTAGGTGGAGTGATTGTCGCCAAAAGCGGCTGGATATCAGCCTGAAGACAAGCAATCGCGTGAGCCACCAGGTGGATGACGGTATACGATCAGCAAGCGCACTTGGCCGGAGATGTTAGAGGATTTTTTTCATGGAGGTGAAAGTGATGCCAATGGTGGTGTAAGGTGGGTGCAACGGGCATCGAAAACAGGCTGTAGATGGATATTAGTAACTTGGTTTAGCCACTAAGCTGGTTGAACCAACAGTTTGACACTATTCCATTGGTGCAATTGGTCAATCAAGCTAATGGCTAAAACCGCTTTAGGTGTCCCCAGATGGAGAAGGGGCCGGTCGACGGTCTGACCTGTCGAACCAACCGATCCGGGTTTTAGAACACTGATATGGAGTAGATGAAGTTGTAATCTACGTTTGATTTTTTTTTTTTTTTTATGTTTATCGATAAT